CTTATCAGGGACCATGACACAGAGGTCCCTGTGGGAACACGGAGGAAGCAGGGTATGATTGCCCCAGGTCCAGCTCCCACGGCCATGGAGAGGTGAGCATGGTGACAGGGCAGTAAACCCTCAGGTGCAGCTGGCCATACCTCCAGTGCCCTTGGACCTGGGCTCCTCTGCAGACATCACTGGAGGCTGCCTGCTCAGGTGGCCAACTATCAAACACCCATTACTCTGAGTCCTGGCATGCTAAATGGAACAATGACTATACAAATTCTGCCACATGAGGATTTCTTTTCTTTTTGTTCTGAGGATGCATATTTACATTACTTGTCCTTAAACTATTTCCCAGTAAGACAAGGAGAAATGCATCCATATATTAGCAAAGGTGGCTATGGTGCCAAACGCCAATTTAGAGAAGCTGCAATTAGGAATGATGACAATAATTGCTACTGGCAGAAGCAGAGATGGAGGAAGCCTTTGAGGGAAGCTCCCAAAGCAATGACTTGTCAAAACGATGGAAGGAACATGCTCTGGAATGTGTAGAGGACAAAATGAGACTGTGCTCTTCTTATAGACAATCAGGGTAGCTGTAAGATGACCCCATGCTAGGAGGCTGGAGATGACTCAGGAGACAAAGACACAGCTCAGGGTTTGCTGATAGCCTGTCCCAGGACACAGGCCCTAAGAAGCAGGCTGTTCCTTCCTACTGACTTCATACAACTTCTAGATGAGCAGCAGTGAGGTCTGGTGTGGAGGCTTCTCACTGTATATATTTTTAAACAGTATTTTTCTATGTGCATGAATCACTCTTTTCTTTCTCTTACGGAGTGACAGATTGACTGATTGATTGTTGTTCTTGGGATTAAGCCCAAGGCAAGTGCCCTACCACTGAGGTTCATCCCTAGCCCCCCACTTAACTTCTAATGTGAGAATATTCACAAATTCCTTCAACAAAAGCTTCTAAAGTGTCTTTCTAAGGCCTGTAAGACTTGGGACGCAAGCCAAGTTCGGTGGCACATGCCTGTAACCCTAGCACTTGGGAGGGGCCATGAGTTTGAGGCCAGCCTGAAGTACACAGTGAGGTTCTGTCTCAAAAAACCAAAAGGAAAAAAAAAGATAAAAGAAAGATTTGAGGAATATGGCAAGAAACAAGATGCTACCTCTCTTTGAGGACAATGTAGTGGAAGGGGCAGCAACCACAGTCCGTGGTGGCCAGCAAGGTGACCATACAACATACTGGGAAGCAGAGGATGTCCAGCTCCCTATGGAGTCACCTGGCCTGTGGAAGTGTCCTCATGGGTGCCTCATGAAGATGCCTTGCCATCTTTCTGAGGTTATAATCCTGACTCTCCCCTACCTGCTTGATGGTACAGGCACCTACTCTGGGGCACAGAAGGTACACCAGCCAGTGGCCCCCAGGAGATGCTGTGCTTTCCTGGGCCATGACACGGATGCCTTCATGAACACGGCCACCCGAAGGGACTTCATGAGACCTTGAGTACGTGAGCTCATGCTGTGTGTGGTACCATAAGCAGAAAGGCTCTAGTCTCTGGTCTCTGGCCTCACAGACACCTCGTGTCTTCTGCTGGCACCTATGAAACCATTGCTGGTTGCCTTGCTGACCTGCAAGTGGGGAGCCCTCACGGTTGGTTCCTGAGATGTAGACCATAGTCCATTTAGCACCTTTTGTTTAAAACAAATCAAACCCAGCCGTTTAGGCCAGCACCTTCCGAGGCCTGGTCCTGAGTCAGCGGTTGCCATCCACGCTTCAACCCTGTGCCATGCAGGAAAGGAACTTCCCAGAAAGTGCAGGTACCACCAAATACTGCTGCGTCCCTGCGGCCAGCAGAAGATGACATGACGTCACACGAGGGAGGCGCCTGCCTTGGCCCAGCCAGGCACGGGCAGTCAGCAAGGTCTCTAGGCACCTATGGCCTTCAGCATCACGCCCACAAGGTGGCAAGGCTAAGCTGGGCTCGGTGACGAATCCCTGTGGTCACTGAGCTCGACACCTCAATGGACAGAGCAAATGCTTTGAAAACATTCTGAACTAAAACTGGTTTTTGTTTCAATTTGTTACAAGGTTTTTCTAATTGACTATTGCTATGATTTGGACCTCAAACGTCCCCCAAAAGTCTCTGCATGTTCAGAGGCTGAGATTTTGGCAGGTGGCTGGATCGTGAGGTTCTAAATTCACATATGGATTAATCTATACTTTGAGGGTGCTGCAGCAGGAGACAGAAGCAGGAGCTTGGGGCCTGCTTGGAGGGAGGGGCAGGGCGTGACCTGGGGGCTGTGTCTTGTCCCTGGACATTCTTCGCTGGCTCTTTCTGTTCCCTGCCTGCCATGGTGAGCAGCATTTTTCCACCACAGGTTCCCAGCGTGATACAGGCCTCATCGCAGGCCTATTGCCCGGGAGCCAGCTGGCCATGGAAACCTCTGAAACCACGAGCCAGAACAAACCTGTCCTCCTTCAAGTTTTTCTTCTCAGGTATTTGTCGCAGGGACAGAAAGCTGACCAGCACAACCATGTCACAAAGTCTTACAGGAGTCTCCTCACTAGAACTGAAGACTAGTGGCCACGAGCTGTGTCCCAGCACTGCAGGAGGCTGAGGCAGGAGGACTGGAAGTATGAGCCTGATCCAGGCAATGTAGTGAGACCCTGTCTCAAAATAAAAAATAAAAAAGAGCTGCGGATGGAGCTTAGCAGGAAGGCCCTGGGGTTCAACCCCAGTACACAGAAAACAAAAATAAACAGAAAAGGAATTGAAGCTGGGCACGGTGCTACACTCCTGTAATCCCATCATTTGGAAGGCTGAGACAGGAGGAGTATCACGCGTTTGGGGCCACCTGGGCTACAAAGTGAATTCAAGGCCAGCCTGAACTGCCCAGTGAGACCCTATGTTACAAAGACTGAAAGAAAAAAAAAATTGAAGATCAGTTTTTCTTGTTTCTGGTGCTCTTTCACGCCTATTCATTATCGGTATGGAATCTAAAAGTGACTCCCACATAAAAATACTTCTGTTACGTTTGACTTCGTGAAGCAAAAGCCTGCTCACAAATGTTTGCTGACGTGCTGTGGCCTTGCTCAGCGCTGGTGCTGTGGGCCCTGGTTCCCATCACCTGCAGTATCTCCATCCTGGTAGCTCACTACTATTTATATCCCTGGGATTTGAGCCATGCTTATTTCAAAGAAGAAGCAGCAGCACTGTGGACACAGGCTGTCTGTGCAAGAGCTGAGGACGGTGGTCCCTGTCAGCTCTGCTTTTCCACAGAGGGCCACTGGCCAGAGCATGTCCTGCCAGTCAGAATGCTGGAACGAATCAGATGCACATATTACATGTCTTTGCCAGAACGTAATACTGAAATTAAAAGCTTGAACTACAAGAAGACATAGAAGACACTTATCATTGCAAGAAAACTGAGTGGGATTCCTGCCACATCCAGGAAAGGCAGCGTTCTGTGGCCTGGGTCTCACCTACTGCTCTCAACCACACTGGTGCAAGGAGAGCTCTGCACCTCAGGAACAGCAGCCCAGGCCCCCGGTGCCACCCACAGATGCTCTCTGAAGAGTATTTTTTAGTGTGCAGACTTATCTTTGGAAGGAACACCTAGCAGGAGTCATAGCCACCACCCCCAAAGCAGGCAGTGCTGGCCACAGAGGTCTGCCTGCTCCTGCAGAACCTGTTTTTAATACACTGTTTGCAAAGTTTGAAAAAATTGAAATATTTTATACAAAGTTTATATTTCTGGTAAACAGTCTGAAAATAGGGAGCTAGAACCTACTTTTCCTCAGGGAGCAGCGAATGGAGGTACAGAGGGCTGCCCCTTAGGACCCTAACAGCACCTGATTCCAAGCCCTGTTGTCTAGGGTTATTTGGATTTTCACTGAAAAGAGCACAGCGTGCGGCCATAAGCTCACTCACCCACTCTGGTCCCCAGAGCCAACCCTCAGCATGTGCTGTCTGTGAAGCTGGAAGGGGCCCTGGAGCCAGAGTGCTGTTTTTCAGATGAGACATGGGGGACAGGGAGCGCAGAGATGCCTGTCTGTAACAGTCAGAGCCACTATATTCAGCATGGGAACTACGGGCTGCCTGCGGCCCAAATGGCAATGTACTATGAAATGCAAAAAGCACACCAGCCTCCTAAGACTTAGTAGGAAAAATGTAAAAGTAATAATTTCAATGTTGAGTGTTACAAATCAAAATGATAAACAGACATATTTGGGCAAATACAATGCATTATTAAAGTAATCTCACATTTCTTTTTATTATTTTAATGTAGCTGCTAGAAAATCCCAGTTACCTACATGGCTCCCATTCTGTTCTACGAGGCACGGTGCCAGGCTGTCATGACAGAGACTCACTTCATTTTAATTTCGTTCTTGAAGAAAATAAATGATGGCATGACTAGAGAAAAGAAAGCTCACAGGCGAAGCCTCTGCGCTATCACTAAACAGTAACTGGACCCAGGGTCTACACAGCCCGAACCTGTGCTGTGGGACACTCAGTAGCCCTCTGCATATCTCACAGCATATTTGCAGTCTGCAGTACTCACAATAGGGCTGTCTGCAGGGAAACAGAAGTCCATTTTCCCGTTGGCTTTCTGGTAAGTTTCTACTGTCATTAACTGGAGAAGAATCATTGTGACAGGGCTAAGAGTTTAAAGTTCAGGAATGCAGATAAATGTTCCTTCTATGAAAAAGTAAAGCTGTGCTTGCAAAGCGTAACAACTACATAAAACGATGTCATTCCTTTTGCTGCTCCTCAAATCACAGAAACCATCACTAGTAAGGATTAACGCTTTGTTTTAAAAGGTTGGTGTGGGGACCCCACTGACACAGTCCTGCATGAGTTCTGCCACTGGTTCAATAAACCTCTGGAAAGTGGACCTGCCCTTAAGATGTAGACACTCTCACCCTCGGCAGGAGAGGGGCTCCCAGATGCGGCAGTCAGGTGTTCACCATCTACCACAAGCACAGGCTGACTCCTTATATCACCACCTACCTTTGTGCTTTTCTGTTTGAGTGCTTAGAAGCTCTGAACATTTTGTTTCTTCCTCCTGTATTTCCAGATGAAATCGGCATTCTGGGTGAATGCTGTTCACCTGTTCAAGGTTATAAGACAGAGAAGTAACTACTAATTGCATAAAAGGGCAGTCAAACAAAAGTTCTAAAGAAGAATCCAAAATCTCACCGTTCTAAGCTACTCCCCAAATGAAATTCATTTAGAAGCCTCACCTTCATTTTTCTGGCATGGTTATTTACAAAACTCTTACTACTTATTTTGTAGATGTTTCATAAGACAAATATAAAACCCAATGGAATATTTTTTTTTTTCTGAGCAGGAAAATAAACTAGCAGAATACACTGTATGTCATTAGCACTAATTTTGGGACCATAGAGCCCTTTAAACCGTTACTCTTGATACTCAAATTTTTCACTTCACCGCCTTTGATTAGATTAAAGCAAATGCACGTTTCCTCTCAGGACCACTGTTGGAGACGCCAGCTCGCTTTCTCCAAGGGCTTCTCCGTGTCTACTGCAGAGTCATAACAGGACAACTACATTTTTACCGGCCTCAGGACATGTTCAAAACTTAACCCTAAGAATGCAAATAAAACTGTAATCAGTTTTTCACTTAGAATTTGATGTGAAAGAGCTTTCGGAAAGATTAAAAAGATGAGGAAGGAGGCAGGCATACGAGAATCCATTGCTAGGACTCCAGGGAGAATGGTAATTTCGAGTCAGAACCTTTGTGGGGTCTACAAACGCAACAAAAGTCATCACTGATGGTGTTTACTGACACATAAAAGTGCCAGACGATATCAGTCTCAGACGATAACACACTCTGACTGCTGGCTTTCTCCACCTCTGCCAGCCTCAGCAAGGGCCTACTTTGCTGGCCCAAGCCCCTGGCTGCTCAGCAGGTTCCGTCTCTGCCTGTCTGTCTCAGTCTCTCCCTCCCTCTATCTTACTTTATCTCACTCTGTCTCAGTCTCTCCCCCTCTCCCTTTTATCAAAATTTTACTAAAACAGTAACCAAGGAGAACCATACTCTTGGCAATGTCATGGGTCTATGTTTAGTTATCCCACTATTAACACAGCCTAGAATCCCAAGCAGAAATGCATTTTCCTAGCAGAATTAAAAGAAACTTAATGCTGTATATCTCTGCCACATTTATCCCATTAAAAAAAAAAAAAACAAAACAAAACAAACAACAACCAGGGTCTCTATAGTGTTACTAGCTCATTATTTATCACACAACCACCAAAGGTGGACTCCTGTTCCCAAGTATGCTGTTTTTCAAGCCAAAGGGCCACATTTCCGACTTAAGGAAATTTTGTCGATTTTTAAAATTATGTTGATTTAAAAGGTAAAACATTAGGATGTTAAACGCACTATAATACCAAGACTGTTTGAATGTGCAAAGCAGTGATTTATGGGGATTCCACAGGTTAGAGACCTTCAGGCCGCAATTCCTGACGCTGCCTCAGCCAGGCTGGGCTCTGCCCTCGCAGCCCCGGGGCTGGGGAGCCCAGGACCACGGCCCCGCAGCCGTCCCCGCACGCGCGCCCCGCGCGAGCTCCGCCGGGAGGGGGCCGAGAGGGGGCTACCGCCGCCCCACACGGGTCTTCGAGCGAGGGTAAAAATTCCTGAGCACTCTGCAGCAAACCTGTTTTCAGTTCATTACTCCCCCGCACTCCTGAAACAGGCAGGACGGTCCCCACAGGAAACTTCCCTGCCCGCCGCGCGGTGACAGGGACCAGGTGGCGGAGCGTCGCCAGCCGCGGGGCCGCGGCGGCGGGAACCTGACCCCGGCTCGACGCAAGCCCCAATTCAAGCCCGAACGCGACCCGCCCCGAACCCCATCCAGAGCCCGAACTCACATCCGATCGAACTCTACCGCAGCGCGAACCCGCCCGGATTCGATTCGACCCGAACCCGACCCCGAGCCCGACCCGGCCGGGCCGAAGCCCGGCGCAAGTCCAAAGCCGAGCCGGACCGAACGCCGCCGCGCGGACGCGAGTCGGGGACCCGGGGCCCCGGC